TGTATGCCTGTGTGTGTATGTGGTCAAAAATTTAATAATACGAAAACCTCCTAAATACAGTATTTATTCTGACAATCGTAACATTAAATACATCTGAGAATCGTTTTTGGTGATTTACATTCATTTTTTCAACAGTTTCACATTGCCTTTTGTTCGAACATCTTTGGTCATAATTGTCCTTGAGAAGAAATGCAATTTCTCAAACGAAAAAAAAAGAAAAAAAAAAAGAAAAAAAGAAGATCGAGATAAACTGATGACGTCCCTTTCTCCTTCCTGGAACATTTCACGTCACATTTCACTCGCCATTATTACAGGGGCGTAAACGGTTTGCATTAAACCAAAAGAATCAACGCAAACCGAATATTGGCTTCGGCCATCTTGACTTTGCGTAGCATTACTTACGTAACTAATGTTGCATAACTTTGTTTTTGACAGCAATTCTTTCTGCCGGTTTTCACATGTTTCTTTTAGCCGCATATGAAGTGACAAAAGCAGAAAAAAAAGCTGATAAAATAATGACAATTACTTGTTTCATTTATGTTCCTATCTATGTTACATTTATCCATTTTGTCTTTACTTCTTTACTGAGTATTTTCCGACCACAGCTCTCTTCTCTCTCGGGATGTTCCGCCCCTCTCTCTCCCAAAAATCAAATGGTTTTCCAAAACAAACAATTTGTCCAATTATCGTGTTATATTTATGCTTCTTGGCAGAAATGCCATCTATCTATATATCTATGATATATATATATATATATATATATATATATATATATATATATATATATATATATATATATATATATATATATATAGGTGTGTGTAAGGTAAGATGGGAACGAATATAGTACAATTCCAACGTTCCTAACATTTAATTTAAAAAGGGCTCAATACAAAGTTGAGCAATTTTCTTTATTTTAGGAGATTACATCGAAAACATGTCAAAATCGCTACGCAATTGCAGAGGTGTTTCGATGCGCATAGACGCATCTCATCAGGCGGCTGTAAATTACTCTTTTTACAATCGTTGTATGCGCATCCAAACACGACCTCAGTTGTATAGCGATTTTGACATGTTTTTGATGTAATATCCTAAGATAAAGTATATATATATATATATATATATATATATATATATAATACTTCAAATGTTATTTTTTACATGTTTCGGTATATATATATATATATATATATATATATATATATATATATATATACAGGGTGCCCCCACAAGAAAACAGGAAATTTGGAAGAATTTATTTACTCGTTGGAATTTTTGTTATAGTTATTTGAAGCCAAAGCAAAGGATATAAATTTAGTAGCTTAAAACAGAACAAAAACACTAATGTTATACGTGGTGTTCAAACTAAAGAACTCTGAAAAAATTCATTGGTCTTTTTTCAGTCCTCCAGTTGGATGTTCTTTCTTAAAGAAAACAATCAACTTGAGTTGAAAATTTGATAACTGCGGTATCCTGGAACAACAAATGATTAAAAATGTATCTATCTATTTACATAAAAATATATATATATATATATATATATATATATATATATTAGTTAATGTTTTTAGTTCATCCGTATAGTAAAATGAATAGTTAATCTATCTATCTATCTACACAAATACATATATATATATATATATATATATATATATATATATATATATATATATATATATATATATATATATATATATATATATATATATATATATTAGTTAATGTTTTTAGTTCATCCGTATAGTAAAATGTATAGTTAATCTATCTATCTATCTATCTATCTATCTATCTATCTATCTATCTATCTATCTATCTATCTATTTCGATTCATTATCTATCTATCTATCTATCTATCTATCTATCTATCTAGATAGATAGATAGATAGATAGATAGATAGCTATCTAATCTGTGAGATAGATGATGCCATTGGGTACAGATCTTCGTTACAATTACACTTCACTGGGAATCATTTGTTTTTTCCTCGGTGACAACTTGACGTGAATTGATTGCTCGCGAATTTTTCTCTTTGTTTACTGTTTTGAGTCTTTTGTAATTCCCTGAGGCACGATTATTTTTTTTTCTTACGGATATTAATCGTGTTTGAATGTTTGGATCAAACGTACCCGTTTTATTTTAGTTCTGAATACCGTTTCTATCTTCCTCTTCGGCATTATTCCCATTCCAAATAAGGCATATCGACATGGCGCATGCGTTCCTTAATCATGCAACCAACAGCAATAACAGCCCAATAAACACCAAAACAAAAGAAACGTGAAATTTTACGTATTTGTTTTTGTATTCTTCTCATTTCTTCTCTTTTGCTTTTGTCTTCTTTCTGGTTTACTTCCTTATCGTTGTTCAATTCCACTGCTCAGATCTTTTCCAAATGTTACGATTCTGATAGCAGAATTCTTGCCAAATCTCATTCCACGGACATTTGTCTTCGATAATTTTTTCAAAATATTTAATTCTTTTTCTGCTTTTCCCTTTTCTAAATTCATGTCTTGCTTCTCTAAACAGCTTAGATTAGTCAAGTGCAGGGACATTATGGTAAGGCACCTTGTGAGCATCAAAGACGTAACATTAGTGAAAACATTTAGCTTTTTAATTAAAGTTCTACAGCACAACATATAATGCAGGAATTGTTTTATTTGCTTTGTATTATTTTTATCTAGTTGCACTTTCATTTTAGCATATTTAGTCTTTTTCTTCATCTTATTCTCCTTGTTTTTCTTTTTCTTCTTCCTTCAATCTGTTTCTTTTTTCTTTATATCTGTTTCTTTTTCTGTCAATTTTTTCCTTTCTTCCTTCAATCTGTTTCTTTTTTCTTTATATCTGTTTCTTTTTCTGTCAATTTTTTCCTTTCTTCCTTCAATCTGTTTCTTTTTTCTTTATATCTGTTTCTTTTTCTGTCAATTTTTTCCTTTCTTCCTTCAATCTGTTTCTTTTTTCTTTATATCTGTTTCTTTTTCTGTCAATTTTTTCCTTTCTTCCTTCAATCTGTTTCTTTTTTCTTTATATCTGTTTCTTTTTCTGTCAATTTTTTCCTTTCTTCCTTCAATCTGTTTCTTTTTTCTTTATATCTGTTTCTTTTTCTTTCAATTCGTTTTCGTCTTCCAAATTTTTCTTTCAATCTCTTTCTTTCCCTTCTTTTGATTTTTCTTCTCATTTCATTTTCGTTCTTTTTCTTTATATCTGTTTCTTTTCCTGTCAATTTTTTCCTTTCTTCTTCTTTGTTTCTTTCTCCTTTTATTTCACTTTTTCTTCTTCAGTTTCTCTTACAATGTTTCTTTCTTTCTTTTTTCAATCTGTTTCTTTTCCTTCAATCTTTTTTCTTCTTTCAATCTCTTCATTCCTCTCAATATTTATTCTTCTTTCAATGTTTATTTCTTTATCTTTCAATCTGTTTATTACTTCTTTTCCTCGCCTTATTTTATGTTTCTTATTATCACTGCAATTTAAAACTTATAATCGTATTTCATTTAATCTTTCACAGCCGTTTTATTATTCACTTTTAAAATTCACAGATGTACGACTGAAAACTCTTTTACACTTTGTTTACAATATCTTTGTCATCACTATTTTATATATAATATAAGGTGCATACGAGGACATCTATCTATCTATCTATCTATCTATCTATCTATCTATCTATCTATTTCAATGATACCTTTCAAAATACGTAGAAATTACAGGTTCAAGTGAGTGCTCATTTGATAACTATAGCGACAATAGTCAATAAATACTTTAAGATATTTTTTAAGGTGCATACGAGGACATTTACTATCTATCTATCTATCTATCTATCTATCTATCTATCTATTTCAATGATACCTTTCAAAATACATAGAAATTACTAGTTCAAGAGAGTGCTCATTTGATAACTATAGCGACAATAGTCAATAAATACTCAAGCAAAAATATTGCGCGACACTTTGGAGTCTATTAAAAGATAAGTCAATTGTTCATCTCCCTGTATTATATATATATATATATATATATATATATATATATATATATATATATATATATATATATATATATATATATATATATATATATATGGCATGGTGGAGGAATCGGAGTGCCGAGTTCGAATTCCAGTCGAACGACATTCACTTACGTGCTAATACCTTTGCAAAAGGTCTGAATCCTCTTTTTCTCCCTCCAGCTATGGGTAAATAGCAGGACAGACTGGGATCTATAGCCTTGGGTGGCAACTGGTCTAGGAGAAGGACAACTCTGAATTCACAACCTGCGGAGCGTCGTTTTGGGGACTTTGTGGCTCATAGTGCACCAGGTCTCTGTATTCGGCCCTTCAAGAAGTGTGAACGGTTCTGCAAAAAAAACTTCACTATAATCAAATTTCATGTGTTGGTGTCCTAGAAATGATCTGCTTGACCCTCATACGTCGAAGTCGATGGGAGAGTCTAGTATATATATATATATATATATATATATATATATATATATATATATATATATATATATATATGTGTGTGTGTGTGTGTGTGTGTGTGCGTGGTTAAATAATTTAGACGTGCTATGTTTATGTTTCCACAAATTTCTTGGTAGCTGTAGAATATAATATGTCTGGATTATTTAACCAAACCTGTTTGAATGAAAATATGCTGTCTAAATACACACACACACACACACACACACACACACACACACACACACACGCACACATATATATATATATATATGTATCGGCATCGAGAATTCAGAAAAGTTTTGTTAATTTCAAACGAAAAGTCTATATCTTTAATTCTTAGTTTTATTTTTATACTTTACAAATAAGTTATTGTACATCTAATCTAATAATGTGGATAAGAAATGTCTTTATTTTTTTTTTCAGGTGCTTTCTAAAATTTGAAATACATTAAAAAACAGAATGACTATGTCAGTTGAATTTGACAAATCTTGATGTTCACCTTATACAAGACCCAAAAGCCACTCGAGATAGAGGATTACAAAGTTAGAGGCACATTTTTGGAGGATATTTGGGGAAGATGACGGTTAATACTAGACTTGAACTGGTTAAGATTGTAGTGATCTGGGAAGCATCCTCTTGGGAGTTGACGCCACAAAACAGCGGCTCGTGGTGAAACAAGAAAAAATAATATATATATATATATATATATATATATATATATATACTTATGATTTATATCTTAAAATAATAGTGATTTATAATTTACATATTCATACCTTATGTTTTAATATATATATCAGAACTTTTTAATACACAAATATTCTGGCAAATCCAACGAATTAAAATATACATTATTTACATTTTTCAGATTATTGTCCTCATCTTTGTTTTATTACAACGTTTCGGCCGTTGTATGCTCCGGCCTTCTTCGGGTGGTTGGAATGTCGAACTGAACCCTTTATTTCGCTCACTGGAGTAGATTTTTCTAGTTCCACGTACCATGTTTAATGGATGTCAGTTATCAGTTATCTCCTGTTAATTTCCCTCTGAAATTTCTCCACTGCCTTAGCCAGGTATTGAACTCACACTCTTTGGGTCCTGTCACTGGATCTAACTAACTTTGGGTCCTGTCATTGGATCTAACTAAATGTGCTATGTGTCCTCAGTGGATAAAGACGTTAGGCGTTAGTTAGATCCAGTTTTGTTTTAAGTCTTTTATTGTTTTAGAAGTAGTAGCAACAATTTTTATGATAAACGTTGATAACTTTTTTCAGTTGTAGTTGCGGTAGTTTCAGTTTATAGGTAGAAATGACATATCTTAATTCTGTCTATATTTCTGAGGTGAGTTATTATGTACATTATTTATATTATTCAGACTATGGTCCTCATCTTTCGCGAAGTGCGCGAAATGCCTTTCTGTTTGAACGTCCATTTTCGTAATAGGCTTCGATAACTTTAACACGTTGATTGTTAATCTTTCCATGGTTGAGATTGCCAAAATCTTAAGTTGTTAAATCTGAAAGAAAAAGAAGAAAAAAAAATCATTAGACGATTAAACTTAATTCACATTTAAATTCGGTCCAAGTTATTGGAACAGCCTTTATTAGGCGTTATAAAGAAACATTCAGCATTCATTGAATACAATTTCATAGTACAAAGAAAATACCGGCAATGGATTAAAAGATAACAAATGAATTATCGGCACTACGATATAGCAGCTCGGATTTAGGAATCAGAGAGCCGGGTTCAAATTCCACGAGTTCGTTATTTTCACTTACGTGTACAAATACCTTTGGGAAATGTATGACTCCATCACTACTTCCCTCCAACGAGATATGAATAATTAGTAGGACAGACTATGTCTAGTTTGATTAGTGATTAGTCTAGAAAAAGGAAAAAAATTGAATTCAAACCAGCCTGTAGGGGGTTGGGCTCCTTCAGGTTGTCTTGCCCAGGAGACAAAACTGTTGGGGCGTTATTGGGTTACGTCTTTCGTGATCGTGTCATCATAACTGACCGATTGTTTAATATGAAATTAATAGATTTCTATTAAATCTTCCTGTATATTTCTTTTACATAACAGAATAATTCAGAGCACCTCACGTGGTGTAATGCTTAGCAAGCTTGGATAAATGTCCGTCAAATCTGAAAGAAAAAAGGAAAAAAAAAGGTATTAGATCCTTAAACTTAATTGACATTTAAATTCGGTCCAAGTTATCGAAACACTCTTTTTGTATCTTTTACTTGCCACTTATTTAATTTTATAAAATATCGAGGAATTCATTTTTGTAGCACCTAATGTTTATAGCAACTCGTTGGATAATATAATTCATCAAAAGTTTTTTGTAAAGCAATTACCGAAAATCTCATTTGAATCGTAAAATTAAAAAAATGCAATAAAACTGAGACATTATTTAATTAGAAATGCTTTTAATTACTTTTATGAATCAGATATATTATTGACACTGTTGTCTGAAGAAATGCTTTGTTTTGATAAATAACGAATTTTTGTAAGAACTGTTTTCTTTTTTAAAATTTTAATTAGAATAATTTAAAAAGTTTAAAATCTTTTAAAATTCTGTATTAATATTTAACGGTTAGGTGATATTGTTATTAAGTAACAACAATATTTACTAATCATAAATGGAAAAGTTTACTACAATTCAGTTACGGATGTCCATACATGACATTATCAGAAAATAAGAGAGGTAACTATAGAAAATTTAAATCCAAAACAACTAAAATTCAATAAAACATTAGATTATGGAGAATATTTTCCTAAATTTTTAAGATTACTAAGGAGTTAAAAATTATATAAAAAGCGCGCTCACTTTATATTTCTCAAGTAAATAGAGCTGTCATGAACTAATCAAAACACCTACCTCTATGTTAAAAGAAAGCATTTCTGCAATATTTTAAACTAAATGTAATATTTGTTTCAAATCAGACTAATTAAATTTTAAATCAGTTAATATTCCACAAATGTAGTTTGAGAAAAGTATATTTTATTTTTGAAAGATTTTAATAAAGATAATTACATTGTACTGACAGACGGTTAGAAATGGCTAAAATCAGTGATTCTTAGGGATTTCAAAACTCCTACCAATAGATTTAAATTAGTTTTGTAATACCCCAATGTATTTTGCTTATTGTAAATATTAAATTTAATTGATTAACTTGAAATTTAAACTAAAATAAAAGCTTCAAGAGAGATTTTTATATTTAAAATAATCGCGTTTCTTTGGAGGTACATTCTCTTTTTAGTGTGTTAGTGACCCAAATGTCTTTCTTGAACTGGCAGTGAAAAGTTCTGCGTTAAGGGTTATAAAACAATTAGGATTGGTTAGAGAAATGATGAAGAAGTTATCGAAATTCTTATCTTTTAATGACCCTTGTGTGTTCTTAGATCTGTTTCCATTTTCTTTTGTTTCTGTCAGCATGTGTTTATTTACGTATATTCCCTCTCCACGCAGAACTTTTCACTTCTAGTTCAAGAAAGACATTTGGGTCACTAACACACTAAAAAGAGAATGTGTCATATCGAGAATATTTAACATTGAAAAACATAAGAAAAAATTAATTATTTTTATTAATATGTGGAATTCTCCACGCTTTACCTGATGAAGATCGCGAGACCGAAAACAAGTGTAACAAAATTATGGAAACTAAAGCATAATATTTAAAGAAAAAAATACACATTAAAACCAAAATCGTTTGCAGTTTCTCTCTTCTTTTTAATATATATATATATATATATATATATATATATATATAGATATATATATGTATTTGTATGTGTGAGTGTGAATTGCACTCTATCTATGGAAAAGAAATTGGAAATCATAAAATTTAAGGACGCGAATGGTTTAATAATAAAGTGGAATTAAATTATTTCGAACTATCGGTATGCTGAAATAGTCCTCTTGAAAAACGCGAACTGAAAGCTAGATCTCTGTCGGGAGTGTTCAAAATAAACAAGGGTCCATTTTGAAAAATGTCTATGCGTAAAACAGGCCGTAAGTATATAAAAAATATTATATATATATATATATATATATATATATATATATATATCATTCTTGGTTATGTTTTATTCTAATGTGTACAGCGCGTGTTAAAATTTAAAATTCGCAACACGGGACTTCACAGTATTAAAAATATTGGTGGATATTTTTTATGGCTGAAAGATTATGGTTTCTGACAGACTTCATTGTTCGATCACTGGATCTGGCTATTACAAATAGGTTTTTTCCCAGTTATAAATCAAGTAATTCCCGTTCATGCAACTGAAAACAGATTTTTTTAAATCCTTAGAGAATAATGCCATCTTATTTTTTTTTATTGTCCTTTCTAGGATTTAATAGTACATTCTATTATTTTAAGATCCGTTCTG